GCCTTAACACTCATGTGTTATGAAGATAACATAACACAGCTTCATATTTCTGGCTATAACTGGTTTCCTAATTTGCCTCAGGGGTTTTCTACAGATACCCTTTTCTCTAATCTTGCTCTTTTGCCTAATTTAAAGGTACTTTCTTTGGTTTCTTTAGGTTTGAGAGGAACTTTACCTAAAAAGATTGGATTTTTATCTTCTTTGGAGATTATTAATATCAGTTCAAACTTCTTTTATGGTGAGATTCCAGGAGAGATTTCATATTTGAAGAGTCTTCAGACACTTATATTGGATGATAATAAGTTTACAGGTCAAGTTCCTGAAGGCGTTGGTTTACTTCATTCTTTGTCTGTTTTGAGTTTCAAGAACAATTCATTTTCAGGTTCATTGCCTAATTCTTTGTCAAGTTTACAAACCCTAAGAATCCTTTCTATTTCTGGTAATAATTTTTCTGGGGTTGTTCCAAACCTTCATAATCTGTCAAATCTTCAAGTTCTTGATTTGGAAAGTAACAATCTTGGACCTAATTTCCCTAATATTCCAACCAAGTTGGTATCTTTGGTACTTAGGAAGAACAAGTTCAGTTTAGGGGTACCAAAAGAACTGAGTTCATGTTATCAGTTGAAGAAACTGGACATTTCTTCCAATGAGCTTGTTGGACCCTTTTCACCAACAGTTTTATCATTGCCATCACTCAGCTATTTGGATATTTCTGGAAATAAACTAACTGGGAAGCTTCTAAAGAATGTGACATGTAGTCAAGACCTTTCATTTGTGAATTTATCATCAAATTACTTGACAGGGGAGTTGCCTGATTGCTTGAAACCTAGTTCTAGTTCCAAGATTGTATTGTTTTCTGGGAATTGTCTGTCGAATAAAGAGCAATGGCAGCATCCTTATTCATTTTGCCATAATGAAGCTTTGGCTGTTAGTATTGAGCCTCATAAGGGAAAGGTTAAAGGGGGAAATGGTAAAGCTGTTCTTGCATCAAGTATGGTAGGAGGTTTTGTTGGAGTAGTAGCCATTGTCGGTTTGGCTTTCGTGGTTGTTAGAAGAGAGTATGCCAAGCAGAAAGCTAGCCAAGCCCCTCAAACAAGATTGATACTTGAAAAGGTCTCTCCTGCTCACACTCTTAAGCTGCTTAATGATGCAAGTAAGCTCTCTCTTTCTCTCACACAAACACATTATGTTAATGATTTCAACTTATGAAACTTTTTAGATCCTGATAATTGTAAATCTAATGTTTTGTAAGGTCTGTGTACACTCTACCTTCCCCTAATCCCACCGGTGGAATTACACTGAGTATGTTGTTGTTGTTGTTATCATTGTACTTGAAAAGTCTATGTAAACCTTTGAATTTCTTTATATATAGAATGAAAATATCAATTTGCTTCAGGAAATTGTCCAATACTGTGTTATTGGAATAAACTCTGCTCTTGTCTAAATTTCACGATGTATCTTGATCTTTGATTCTTGATAGGGTATCTTTCTGAAACGAGGAAGTTGGGATTGCTTGGGGCCCCTCCTTATCGAACGTTTGTCTTGGATGAGCTTCGAGAGGCCACTAATAACTTTGATATATCAAATCTAATCGGTGCAAGCTCCAGTGGGCAGGTATGGATTTCCTTACTAAATACTGTAAGACTGTTTGAACAATGTTAGTCCTCATGGACTGTTTTGTAGTTCATTCCTCAATTCTCTTGCATCTATGGTGAATGCTGATTGTGTTTTTATATATTTTGAACAATAGATTTACAAAGGGCGTCTCACAGATGGCACTGTGGTTGCTATAAAAAGCATAAAAATGAGGAAGAGGCATAGTGTCCAGTCCTACACTCACCAACTCGGGCGTATTTCAAAGATCAGATACTGCCATTTAGTTAGTACTATTGGACACTGCTTTGAGTGCTACCAAGATGACTCAAGTGTTAGACGAATATGTTTAGTCTTTGAATTCGTGCCAAATGTGACGCTGCGGGGGGTCATATCAGGTATATAGTCTAGATAACTTCATCTGCTTCGCGAGTTATCATTTGGCACAACAACTGCAACAGTTTATAATTGAGCATTTAGTTTACTTATTTGACTATTTCTACCATTTTACATAAATTATACTAAGTCTAAGTAAATGACTTCTTGGTATGTAGACGTTATAGAAAACAAGCATCTTTGCAACAATCTGTTCCATGTTGTTTTGATATATATTACTAGATTGTCCTCAATCACGACAAGTACCTACTACATTGTACTTCTTGTCAAAAGTGCTGATAAATTTTAAGGAGACATGAAATGCTATTAATTACTTTCTCCTAGATTATGCAACCGTTGTTTCTTCTTTGCCCGATGCTTAAATGTACATGTGTTTATTGTCTTTAAGACAGTTGTTCTGAATTCTTTGCAAATGCTCGGTATTGTAGAAGCAAATTCAGCTCAAAAGTTTACATGGACGCAACGGATGTCAGCTGCAATAGGGATAGCAAAGGGAATTCAGTTCCTTCATACTGGAATAGTACCAGGGATATTCTCCAATCAATTGAAGATTACAGATGTATTACTGGATCAGAATTTCCACGTAAAGATTAGCAAATACAATCTGTCTTTGTTAATTGAAAATAAGAAAATGGTATGCAAACCTCTCTTCTCTACTATATTCTCTATTAATCACTCATTTCATTCTTGAACATTCACATTTCGTTATTGCAACTGTTCTTAGGATGCTGGACCGTCTTCTAGTGGATCAAAGGGAAATGATGGGCAAAGGTAAATGATCTCATCATTCTCAGCTGCTACTGCTACATTTTAGGTCTTCATTACTCCACTTTTATGGTTCGACTTCAGAAGCACCTATTGGAAACTAATCTTGTTATACTTCTAAATGCAAATTGGTCTATAAAGGTTTTAGAGAATCTTTGGCGTATCTCGACCAATTCTAGACAACACCTCTCCAGCCACTGCTATTGGGGGTAGGCACCGTTATAGCATCATGCCATTCATTGGTTATGATTCTTGAAGACAATAAATAGAGCCATAGACTTGGACCGTCTTAGGAGATTCCGAGATAGTACTCTACCGTTTAGTAGACTATTAATGAATTCCTTCTTTTGTTTATATCTTCCTGAATGCAGGTTAAAATACGAGGAGAAAGATGATGTGTACGACTTTGGAGTAATCTTACTTGAAATCATATCGGGAAGGACAATCGATACAAAAAATGATATAGGTGTTTCTAAAGACATTGTAAGAGTCACTTGTGACATTTATGAGAAAATTCTTTCAAGTCATCAAGTTGAAGAACTATTTTGTTAAAACCTTTTCTTGTTGCAGCTAATAGTTAGCTTAACAGCTGACGAAATAGCTCGGAGGAACATCATTGATCCAGCTGTTCGGAAGGAATGCTCAGATAGTTCTCTTAGAACATTAATGGAACTATGCATAAAATGTCTTTCAGATGAACCATCGCAACGTCCTTCTGTAGAAGACTTGATATGGAACTTGCAGTTTGCAGCTCAGGTCCAAGACCCTTGGAATAGAGACACTTATGGCAACCAAGAGTCCCCTGGTCATGTGTAAGAACTTGTGCAAATATCCAATGATCAATGGACCTTTTCTTGTACAAAATGTAACATTATACCACTAGGATAGTAGTTTCTATTGCAACACTTTTGGCTATATGAGGTTTCAGTACTCTTTTGAGGTTAACTCTACATTTGAGCCAAATTTTTTAAGCAAATGGCTATTTCTTGCACTTTTTTTTTTAACGAGCCTAAAATTTAAAAGGTGGGCCTTGCACCGATCATCCAATGGACCATGGACTAAACGGCACCCAAAAATGCTATTTGTGAAAACCACCCCTTAGTCAAATGATTATCATTAGACTACTATTTGGAATCAAAATGATTGCTTGATTTATTAAGAAAAGAATAAATCAATCTTTTGTACTTTTTAGAAAATCGTTCAAATTCTTGTTGATCTTAGTCACTTTCTTTATTACGCTTAGATAACTCTATCCATCAAAATGTATAAACACGACAAAAAAAGTATCTACTAAAAATTTCTGTAGAGAGATGTTTTTTTATGGAAACTTCTGTGAAATATGAGACCATAGAGACTCATTCAACCATAATTTTCATTGACAAGATATCATGTTACGTTTCAAAATGGGGTCTGAATTCATGGAAAATCATGTGGAGGTAGATTATTTGTTTCATGACATTTCATAAGTTATAGATTTCAAATTTTTGACTTTTTATACTCAAATTCATTTCTTTAAGCTTAATTTGGGCAAACCATCATAATTTGCGGATTTAAAATTTAAATTTTATAAGTTTTTGTAACAATCTCAAATTATTACTAATATACTATAATGATTGAGTTTACAAAAGCTACTACATTTCCGTGAACCTATACCTTGTACTCTAGATCCACCATTGCTAAACCATACCATGGAGGCGAATTTAGAATGGGTTTCTATGAATTCAATTGAATCAATTACTTTTGACTTAAACTATATATACATAAAAAAAAAAAAAAAAAAGTTGAAATGTGTACATACAATAAGATCACCTCTTCTCTACCACATAACATACACTTTCAAACACATAATATGGTTGACTAATGAAGCCTACCATAAAGGAGTTTCTTGGTTTCTAAGCAAATAGATAAACTAGAATTAAAATAGTAGTCAATCATAATACATGGAACTTTCTTCTCAATGTAAACCTTAGAAAGGTATCAATGACCCTTTTAACAGTTAACACAATGGGCAAATTCACAATTCACAATTCACTGGCTTGGTACTAGCACCATGCAAGGAGTAGCAATAAGTTGAGAGAAGTGTAACAACAACAACATGTGAAATCACACAAAGTAGGGTCGGGGAGAGTAGAGTGTACGCAAACCTTACCACTACCTTGTGGAGGTAGAGAGGTTGTTTAGATAAAGTGTAACATGATGCAATAATCTAGATAGAAACGACAGGGAAGTAAGATTTAACAAAAAACTTGAGTGTGTATGCTCATTCTATTGATTAAAATTGGTGTTACATGAGGGTATGTAACCAGTATTGTACAGTTCTTTAATGTACAATTAATGTGCATGAATAGCAAAGAATGGACCTGAATACTAACTACTCCTATCCTTTGGATACCAAAACAAACAAAATCCGGCAACGAGGAGGTAATCTCCAAAGTAACCAAAAGAATATAAAAAAAACCTTTTTACAAGCAGAAGTGATGGAGAAGAGAACTGAGAAAAAAGCTCAATCATCGTTGAGGAGGGTCAACAATTGGATTCATTTCTATTTCTGCAGTCTGAGAGTCTCTTAAATTTCTGAACTTCTCTCCTTCTCTTGCAATCTGAATATCACGAGGTCTAGCATGCTGAATGACAGCTTTGACGACAAAACGAGGAGCAAGTGCAGCAATTGTTATGGAAAGCAAGCAAAACCAGAATTTAGCTTCCCCGGCTGCATGGAAAATGGCCCTGCAAAAATGATTTTACATGCAAATCAGTATATACTTCTCTGACTTGATAAGTTTGTCAGCATAAATAAAGAGAATCCTGAAAACTTCTTAGTTACCATGAGAGCTGGTAAGTTGTTAAAAAAAATTAAAACTGAAAAAAAGTTTTTGGTTGATTTACAAGATACGAGAAGAAATACTAATGGTCATCGTGATTCAGTTTTAGCAAGTGTAACTTCTGCATGGGAAATGAAATTCCAAATACATTCTCTTGCAGATTTAAATTTTGAAAGGGACAGGGATCTGAAAACTGCAACAAAACACACAGACACATTACTATACTGGACATCTATTTTTCACGAGACATAAACAAAAAGCATAACAGGTATATTTGAAGTTAGCAGGATATGAATGAAGAAGAATCATATCCTACCAAATTTGTTTATTTTGCTCTCTCTTGCTGTTGGATTTTCATAAAAGACTCAAAATACAGGTCAAGTGTGCAAAGGTCTCCAGGCCTAGAGACAGATTAACTATAAGAGTGGAATTGAAGTCTTAGTTTTCTGTGGTACTGCATCTCAAGCTAAAAGGTCACCTAGCTTTTAAAGGAAAAAAAGCAACCATCTTCAGAAACTAAACCTTTATGTTTGGATTTCTTCGAATCTTTTAGTTTTAGCAATTTTCTCCACTAACTAACAAGTAGTATGAAATAGTCTTTGAAAGGGCCTAAAACTGTATGAGCAAATATAATTACAGTATGAGCAAATGATGTGCAGTGTCCACAGAAAACAAGAATAGATTATCTATAAGAAAATCAGCAGATTGATCTTACCAGTATCCAGGTAGAAATGCCAGCGAGTCAATGGCAATGACACAAATAAAAGTGGCTGCTATAGATCCCCAAATAGCAGCATGAGTAATCCAAGACCAACGAATCACATCCATTGCTAGATGTACATTGACCAAAATAACAACAGCAAGTGTCCATAGATCTCCAATGCTTGAGATATCAATCTCACTTTCCCAGTATGCTAGAACAGGTACAAAGAAGGCCACTATACTTTGCCATAAGGTGTCAATCATAGTTACCCAAAATAATTTCTTATTATAGCTCTCTTGCCTTTGTCCAGGACCATAGAGTTGTGGATACTTCATAAGAGTCCCTCTACTTAGATCCTTATCGAGAATCCCAACAACTATTGTAGGCACTGCAGTATAGATTATGGAGTATAGCATGCTGCTCCAGTCAGTTAGAGCAGTGGTCAAAGTGAAAGCTGTAAAGAGAGCATACCTGAGCAGAAAAATTTAAAAGGGTCAGCTGTTGCTGAAAGGAAAATTCACAAAACTATTTCATAAATCCATACTTTAGTGTTCTCTATTATGGACCATTAACATTCTACATGAAACTTTAGTCAGACATCATTAAACAATCTGCCTAATGGCCGAACATATATTACTAATTTTGAGAATGTATTACTTATTAACTACTTAACTCTTCATAACTATATTCCAATTTGACAACAGTCATTGAGTGAGTATTTTAAGCTATGTTTCTTTTTAAAACATAGAAAGGTTTAGTACTAATGCCTAAGTGTATTTTCCACTGAACTGTGTCTAAATTACCTAGTCCTAGAGGCTAGAAATAGCAAGAAGCATGAGATAGAACTGTAGTCTCGCTACAAGTACACTTACCAGAATAAGACGAAAACAAGGATAGCATTTCTGTAGAAGTTGTATAATATCATGTAGCCCATTCGTTGATAATTCCAATGGCCATGTACCAACAGAAGAGGGACCAAGAATCTGAATTGTCCCATAGCAAAATCTGATGCCATCACAGCTTGACGTCCCTCTTGGCCACTGATGCCAATGCCCACATCAGCCATTTGGATCATTGACACATCATTTGCACCTGAAATTACAACAATGAATTTTAGATCAGTATTGCTTCTGTAGTTTTTTTTCTTTTGTCATTTGCCATGTAGATTTATTTCAGACAGTACAACTCCCAATGCCCCATCAGAAAGAGTACTAACACTTACCATCCCCAATTGCGAGTGTCATGTCATCAGTGCGGTTCTTTATGAGAGCAACAATTCCGGCCTTTTGTAATGGGGCCACCCGACAACAGAGTACAACAGAACAATAACTGGCCAACTGGAATAACTGCATTGAAATGAAGAACAGGTAAGGGGATTTGCAACAGTACTGATGTATTTATGTAATTAAGTATTAGATACAAACACAAAGAGAGAGAGTGTTTAAGATCTACAAGCATTACCAGTTCTTCAAGTTCGCCATCAAGGACATAAACGAGGCTTGTTCCATCAATGATTAAAGCAATTGCACTTGCTAAAGCTCCAATATTTTCCTCAGCATTATGTGGTGTTAGACTCTTACACCGAGTCAGAGCAGCTTCCAAAGACCTTTTACATGACTCCTTAGATTTGTTATTTATCACAATCTGAGTCATACTGTTCGTTAAAAGTTTCGAGGAATAGCCAATTGAAATTGCAGTCTCTTGCTTGTCCCCAGTCAAAACCCAAACTTTAATGCCAGCCACTCTTAAGGACTCAATAGCTTCTGGTACACCTTCCTGCAATTTATCTTCAATACCAGAGGCACCTAATATGGTGAGGTTCTTTTCTACATTGCCAGCTACTTTTCGAAGTAGAGCTGCCCTACCAATAACAGCTGTGTTTGCTGCCTCATAAGAAGACTGCCATTCCTCAAATTCAGAAGCACTCATTTCTCTCATCCCCACTACAAGGGTTCTGAGACCCATTGAGGAATAAGAGTGTAGATGCAGTTCTGTTGCTCGCACTACATTTAAGCTCAATGATTTATCTATGATGCCAAACATGGTTGTATCAGCACCTTTAACAAAGACTTTAACTGTATTGTCAGGGCAGCCTAATATTACTGACATCCTCTTCCGATCACTGTCAAATTCATGTAAGCCTAGTACATTGAACCTGCAATTACCATGACGTAACGCATTAAACATCCACATTTCCATTGAATTTCCTCGTAATCAATAACTCTAGTTGCTGAGCATTTAAAGTAACGCATACCTAATTACCATAGTAAGGTTGGATCTCTCCAGTAGTACAAGAAAAATTAAACAAGCACAGAAGTTGAGGAAAGGGGAAAAACTAAGTTTTAACATTACCTTTGTCTTTCTCCTTGAACATCTATTACTATATGGCCTGATGTTCTCTCAATGAGCATAAACCCATAAGCTGCAGCAGCATAAACCAATGCCTGCTCATCCGGAGACTCCCCTTGGTAATCTACCAACTTCATAGCCGGATCAGATGTCTCCACGGCAAGAGGGACAATTGTGTTGCAAGCAGCTAATGCAAGGAAAAAATCATGAACATGTTTCCCTTCATCTGAATGCTTCCCATTTTTTGATATATTCAAAAGCACTGGATCAACCTTCACCTTCGTTTTCGGCCTTAAAACCTGACCGTCTACTAGCCAAATAAGAAAGAAAATGTAAGTTCCAATGTGTTACCAAACAGGTGCCACCAAGGAAAGGGTTATTTTCTTTATCTAGGAGAATTTTTTATTTTTTTTTGGGGGGGGGAGGGGGGTGATGAAAGATGATGAGAAGTTGTTGTAGTACCTTGAACAGAGCATCCAGCTACTTCTTCTTGAGGGTCTGATTTTCCACTACCATAATCTACACCCCAAATGCTTGCACATTGAAATTCCATCTTGTTCTCAGTTAAGGTACCAGTTTTGTCAGAGAAAACATATTTAATTTGGCCCAGATCCTCATTTATGTTAAGAGCCCTACACTGGAATCTTGATTTTGACGTTTCATCATACATTCGATTATCTTGGATCATAAAGTAGGCCTGACCAACACGAACAAGTTCCATAGATATGTACAGTGATATAGGGATCATAATCTGGTAGACGATGACTGACATCAGAAAAGTAAACACCATTTCCAGTCCCCAGCCATAATAATTGTAGTCTTCAATTTCGTCTTCTGAGAAGTCCAATTTCCTGTAGAAGGGGATGGTATTTAACTCATCCTTGTGGTGCCTCAACCAAACACCGGCACAAATGGAGACAAGAGTACATAATGCAACAAGGAAGAAAGAGAGGATAATGATCTCCCTATTCATTCGGGTCTCAAGACGGCTTCTCTTTGATGGAGCTCCAGAGTTGTTGAGCATAGCTTTAGTTTCTCTCCCAGCATAAACTGCAACTCCAATAGCCCAACTAGTGTTCTTGAGCTCACAGCCACGGAGGATTATATTTGAAGGTCCAAGAGAAACACGCTTTCCATCTATTTCCATATTAGCATGAAAACCATAAATGTTCCTATTCGGTCTCTCACATTTGATCATCCCACTAATACTGTCCTTTTCTGGCATCTTCATTTGCGTCTCCTGCTTTGCATACCGTGTCTTCAGATTTGATTCCCCGTCTAAATTAATAGTCTGGATATAGGCAACCCCAGTGGGATCACTTGTCGAGAGCAATACCATATCACAAGGAATGGTACCACTTGATGAAATTTTGATGATTTCACCCACCTTTATCTCCTTCCATTTTTTCTCTTGAAACTGACCATCCAACAACACTAATGCCAACCGGTTATTCTCAATCCTATCAGAACGGTGACGCCTATAATCCTCGTAGGCATCCTTAATTGCTGTTACTAATAGCACAAAAGCCAATGGAAGAATTGAAGCTCCCCGACCGAAGACAGCCAACATAGGAAGCTGATTAAGAATAGCAATCACCAAAAAGTATATGTATGCCACTCTATGGAACTGCTCGAACAGGTTTCGAGGCAAGAAGGACACAATAGAGTATTTCGCAGTCCTAATTGAATTCCCCGAAAATTCAAACTTCTCATTTGTCCTCTCAGGATCACTTAAATAAACAATTCTAGAATCCTCATCGCTAATCTCTTTTTGAGATGTTCCATACCCCTCAGAGTCAGCACCCTGCGACCCATATCTCACAGGTTTCGATCCAAACTCACCTAAATTCACCTCCCTCACAGACCCCCCACCAGATGCCCTTGACCTATTAGATGACATACTTCTTGTAGAGGATGATTTCATCATAATAGAATCAGTAACTGGAGAATTATTCTCCATATTAGTTCACAAGACAATCTAAGGCTATAAGGAACAAATGGTTTAAACAGATCAGCAACAACAACAGGAATCTCTAAACCATAATCACAAGATCACTAACCCCATCAAGAAGTTCAAAACCCCAGATAGTCAAATAAAACCCCAAACAAAAAAACAATCTAAAAATTCAATCTTTAAAATCTCACAATATACTACAACCCAAAAAAGTCAACTATCAAGAATCACACAAAAAATGGCATATCTCATAAAAATACAAAAAGGGTCATCAGCTACAACTTACTTGCATTGATGTAATAAAGAAGAAATGAAATTGAGATTCTTTTGTGTAAGCTGGAATGAGTATAATAATTTATAAAATTGGAATATAAGTGAAGATGAAATTCAAAGGTCAAAGACATCGTAGAAGCTGTTCTTGTTTGAAATTATGGGATGTGGGATGAGGGGGGTGGGGTGAAATTTAAAAGAAGATGGGAAAACGATTATTAAACAAAGAAATGGGAAGAGAGTCGTTAATGGTAGGCTCCAAAATGGCAAAAAAAAACAAGAAAATGGTTACAAAATAGTTAACTTTGTTTTGTATATTGAAGTTGTGCCGCTGTTCTAGAAGGAAAGGGTGCAAATATATTTTCTACAGGTGTTTCTACAGTGACAATTTTTTGCGTGTGTTCTATAATTTTATTCTCTTGGAGGGGCGTGGCCGTCCAAAAATGAATCGAAATCGAAAAATGTATTGATATATGATAACAATACTATATCCAATAAAATCTACAAAGTAGGATCTAAAGAATATAGAGTATACTTAGATTTTATCAGTCTCAAAAAATAGGGAGGCTATTTCGTGCTATTGATCTTGTAATGATTTAATGCATTTTTAACGGATTAATCAATAATAATCTAATAATAACTGAGGATAAATCTTGTTAATTTTTTAAAAGAAAAAAAAATTCAGTGTTTGTTTTTGTGTTTCATCTTTTCTTTTTACTTATTATTTTTTTCGTTTTCTATTTTAGGTATTTCAAGAATATTGCTTAAAATTGTTTATCAAATGTTATGCTTTTTATTTTCTATCTGTAATTAATCCTTTTAGCATCATGTGCTACTAATACTTCTTCTAAATTAGTACTGGATGTCAATTTAATGAAACTTGATTTTTAGAAATTCCTTATAAATTCTGAACTACCTTATTAAATTTCCAAGAGTACTATATTTATTTAATTTATCATGCAGTTAGTAATTGATTATTAATGAAGATTTTCTTAATGTGAAGTCTTAACGGTTTAAATTGATAACGATCAATAACTGATTGATTGATATTTTGACAATTATTCAACAATTTAACATATCTATAGATTGATGGTAATAAGTTAAATCGAACTTAATCGATTACGAGCCCCGATGATTAGTATTTGAAATATAGCAAATATATACGCAACACCTCAAATTTATCAATAAATTTCATTTAGCTATTGAAACTTCGATTTGTTCAAACTGAGTACCTAAACACATTCAAATTTTTTATTTTTTTTTGTTGTTGATATTCTCAAATGTCCATTTAAGCATATAAGTTTATCATTTAAAATATATCACATCCTATAATTGTATGAATTAGTCTCAATGAGCAGTAAAACCTAAGACATGTTTCAATTGAGGATAATGTATATAATTAAAGGAGATGACATGTTTTATCGTAATGAATATTTGAGATCACACACAAAATATTTTCCAAATTAGAATCAAAATTATTTAATAAGAGCACTTTTATTATGTGTTCAGATGCTCATTTGGAATAACTTGCATTTAGAGCATTAAAATCTAATATTAATGGCTTATTAGGAAATTAATTTTAAAGTACTGTTTCATGACAGCTCGATATTAGTAGATTTGTTTATAATTTTTTATATTATTCTTATTTTTCCCATAGTTTAAATAAAAAAGAAATTTTGTTGGGGCATTTTCGAGTTATTACAATAATTTAACTAAAGAAGATAAATTTTGTGAGTGTTTATGCGACTTAAAAGCAAAATTTAGGGTCAAAATTTCAATTAAACTTTAAGGAAAAAATTTAACCTACTGCACTTTGATATTATTTTTTTCGAAGAATTAATCTAAATATGATTAAATTAAAAACAACTAATTGATAAACAATTTATGTATATCAATTAAAATAAATAAATCATGAATCTATCCGGCTATTTGGGGAAAATTCCTTTTTTTCCGTAATAATAACTACACCAACACTATTTATAAATTACCATATTCTACAATAGGAAAAAAAAATAAAAAAAATATAGATTATAAATATATAGAACTGAACCATGATTGATGGGGAAATAAAAACTGCAGTAAAGTGAAGAATTAAATATGATTGAGACGCCTATATATATATACATTGCTACTTTCACTTTAATATGTGACACTTTCATTTTTTTTATAACTAGTTTTATTTCTATTCTGATGTTCGATATTTATATTAGAGTTCTGTTAAATTTAAATTCATTTTAGAAATTCTCTTATTGAAAGTAAAACGCTTGCTAATAAAGAAGATTTTATATTTAGTAGAATTTAAATTTAAATTATTTAATTTAAAATAAAGTACTTATCGTTCCATCATAATTTATTATCATAATTTATATCGATATATGGGTTACTTTCATGCATTAATGATTTAAATCGTCTAAAGTCTTTATTTTCTTTTTTTCCCCCTTTTCTCTTTTCCTTTATTCTTCCCCTTTTTAGGTTCTTGACATTGTGAGTAGATTTTGGTACATTGCCAAACTATTTGGTCCATCATAAAGAGCATTACATATAATAATCTCAAAAGTGAATGATCTTAAAAAAAAATTAAAAAAAAAAAAGAAAAAAAAATTATGAATAAATCTTCGAGGTAAAAAGTAATTTTTTTTTTATCATGAGACAAATAGGATCAAAAGTTCAGATTACTTATTTTTAATATCATTCGAGTGATCTAGTACCATAGGTAAGAACTTAACCTACACATCACTAGGATCTAAGACTTATTTTTTAGATATAAAACATTGCTCTTATATTTAATCGATTTAGAATTTGATTAAAATATCACATAAACCTAATGTGATCTGCCCTTTTTCCGAACATAATACTCAATTAACAAGAGCTAAGTATATAAGGTTGTCTTTAATACCGGGTATAATAATCCCTTTTTAGTAATTCAGGAACAATTATGTTTTAAACCAGGTAGTTAATTATTTTATCTGAAAATTTTATTGTCTTTTAAGAAAAATAATAAGTAATAATCTATTATCAATAAAGATTATGATAGAGTGATAAGTATTTTCCATCTGTCCATTTTTATTTATCTACTTGTACTTGTTTAAATTGCAAAACTATTTTTTTTATCATTTTATATCTATTTCACTTTTATTATTAAATATTGTTCATTATTCAGTGAGTCTAATAATAATAAGAGGTGATGCAGTATATTATTACTTTATTTATTATTTTTGAAATGTGTCAAATCAAATAAGAACAAACCAGACAACGAAAATATATATACACCGTACACGAATTTGTTTCCAGGTTTTACACGTTATGAAAGTCTGCAATTTTTTCAATAATTTAAACCAATCACTTTGCGATGTCTCATTTTGGAAACTTCTTTATCGTAAATCAACCGCCAAAGAATTCAACGTTTTTTTAAAAAAATAAATAAATTATTATTATTATTATTTCCTCTATATATGTGGCACCTCTAGAAAAAAAAGAAATCCTATTTTGACCGTTGTTACAAGAATTTCAAGTCTAAATTCAAATAATTTTTAGTATTTTCTATCTAAATAGGAACTTGAATTTTACAACCCATGCATAACAAGAATAGTACATAATAGAATGTTCCACTTCTAGAGATTTGAATTGTCTTGTTTCTCAGGTTTGGTTCGTCAAATTTTTTGAAAAATATTTTCTCTAAGAAAAGAAGTTCATTAAATAAAGAAAACGACTTAGAGTTTCACAAGTGATGTTCTACGTTAATGGTATCCTCCCCACTCTCCAACACGCATCATATTAACCCAACTCCCGTAGCCCCATCTCTACCCCTACCCTACCGCTACATTGATGTAGCCCCATCTCAACCCCTACCCTACCGCTACATTGCTATAGTGTTTGTTTAAATTACATACAAATGCTTTTAGAACAATAATTTTTACTTACATACCAACACACACAAAAAAAAAAAAAGTAAATTCATTTATTCAGTTTTAAACAGTGTATATAATGATTAATTGATGATACTCCAAATTTAATGTACTTAATTAGAGAATTAACAAAAAGTTATAATCGCCAATATTGATATATTATTATCAAAGACAGTTTAATACTATTCTCTACTCAACGTGAGAAAAATGAGTAGTATTAATCTAAACTCTTGATCGTTATTTGACTACTAGACATTATGAATCTTCTTATCGACTACTTTATACATATTTTATTTTAAACTACGTTCCTAATCAAATAATTTAATTTGGTTTCTTCTTTGATCTTTCATAGGAAAATTAACGTGTTGAATTCAAATTGATAGAATATAATAATTATATTCTATGAAGCTGGAATTATATTCAGCAGCCTAATGCCACCACTCTTCTCAAACATGGAACTCCTTTTATCTACATGTATTTTATTGCCAATTAATTTTAAAAAATTAAATATTCTTCATCAATGAACACTCTTATTTTCCCACCAATATTGACATTTCATATAATCAATACATAAAGTAATACTTAACCAAGGATTATCCTTAGGTTCTATGTATTACTAATAACAACATAACTTTAATCAGCTGCGAAACGACCATTGCGTTTCACTTATCCCCTAAACTTTCATTTAGTACACTCGAAATAAACTAATATTAACAGACATCACTGTTATTCTACATGCCAAAAGTTTCATCAAACAACCCTTGAAAATCAAAATTTCAGTACCAGCCATAATATTTAGACATTAGAATTTACACATAATTAAGATGAAGATAACAAGCATATACAATAAACAGTGACAGAGATACAGGCTGTTTTGTTTAATCATCTTCCTCAGGTTCTTCACTTTCACTGTTACTATTTTCTTGTAACTCACTAACTGCTTCTGTAAATTCAGCAATATTATCTTCTTCGTCGTTGTCATTGTCGTCGTCTGATGACGATGATTTTTCAATGTTTGTATCTATAACATCAGATATTTCTTCAGCAGCTTCAATTTCTTTCCCTGTTTCCTTAAGCAACACTCGAGGAAACCTCAAAGGTTTCCCCGGCTGATCTTTAAAGAAAGAATTCATGGTCATGAACCTAAAGACCTGCAATAGGCGTCGTTTATCTCTTCGAATATCTGAACTCAATAGTTTCTGCAGCAGTGTTGATTCTCTCGCACTTTTTGTAACCTGAGTTACAGATTCACGGTTTACATCCTGTTTTCCTGCAGGGAAGCCCTTTTGATCACAAGTATTTGAGGAATCGGAGTTTCCAAATCTTCGTTTCTTGGAGAAACGATCATTTCGGTTGAACTTTTCTTTTTTATTGAACCTTTTTTGGAACCTTTCTTTTCTACTCAGTGGCCTTTTTTGCTCCATTCCATCCACTTGTTTCTCAGTATCTGACAGATAGGATGATGGTATTTCTGCAACTTCAAAGCCTAACTCAGCCTGCTTGGCTAGAATTTCCTTAAGTTGCTGCATAAAGTTCAACTAATTAAACCTACATGAATAGCTAAGAATTACCAGTAAATACAGACAATGAAACGGATGAAGAGAGAGAGAGCCTTTTTGAACTTGCTAAAGAGTAAATAATACAAGTATATGAACAAATACCAAATAATAGGTCCATGGCCAATTTACATTAGCTATGCAGGACGAACAGAAATCTTCAGGAAGTAGATACATTCAGTGCAATCAGAGTTGTGTAAAGATGAGTAGCATTCTAAGGTAACTGAGGGGCAAAGATGTGAAAGTTATTCGTGTGATGAACAGAGATTTGTGGAAAATGTCTGTACATTGAACGGACAAGGGGAACCATTGTTCATTTACTTCCTCCATGTAATGACCCGGAAGGTCATTTTTGAAAATTTTCACAAAATTACCATTTTACCCCTCTCGATAGTTGTCTCGAGTTATTTTTGACTTGTTCGTGAAGTTGGATTGAGAATTTTATACTATTCGATAATTTCGATTATTTAGTTGGTGGTATTTATTAAATAATTAAATTTTATTAGTGGGTTATTAATGAGCCAAGTCCAGAATATAAGTAATATATCCTATACCACTTAGCCCATGTAAAAATTAAATAAATCAGAGTTAAAGGTAATTAATATTATATTTTTAGTCGAGCACGAAAGGGCAAAAATCAGTCACAGCTAAAATCTATAACCGAAGAGAACATTAAGCGACCTTCTGTTCAGGTAATGTAATCATCATCATTGCCTGAATTTTTGTATTTGTATATATGGGTAAGAACATATCATTGTTATTGTGAATTAAAGTGGGGTCGTAAGTGAAAAGTAAGTATAATTGAATTGCAAGTGGGAGTGGATATACCTATTCTAATGTATTTTTTTTACTTGGAGCAACAAATACCTTCATGCCATATAGATGTAATCATTAGATAATGATTGGATGACCCTATACTTACTAATGATTTAATAATTACATGTATTTTGACATTGAATTCACAATCTGCAAATTGAGTTTCTTAGACTTAAGTTACTGATACTTGACGTTGGGTTCTATTTTAATTATTTATTTATCATTATTATTATTAAATATTGAATGTATTATATTATATGAAAACTATTAGGGTTGTAGTGTTTAGAGAAATTATGATTTAACCCTAGACTTGAAATTCAGGAAATATGAGATTTGACCTATTGGTTGGAATCAAGATTTAGAAACTTTATTATAAATTCGGGTGAGTTTTGGGTCTAAGCTAGACACATAGTAATATGAGTGTTGTTAGTTTTGAAATCTTATTGTGGTCATTTATTTGAATAGATTGCTTTGAGTTGGAAGTTCAACAAAAGGGGAAGGCTCAAGTTCCGGAGTGAATTCTTAATTGATTGAGGCAAGTGGATTTCTAAACCCTTGTTAAGTGTATGGAATTCGTGTATTTCCTTGTAATATGTGTTTGGGGGTAATGAGACTTGGTGATGGATTAACTTGTCCACATTGGTTAATTCTAATGATGAAAAAGGGGTAATAAAAGGCAATGTGATTAATTGTTTGTGTGTGATGTGTTGAGAATTGTTTGTGACGGGCATTGGTACGAGTACCAATGTTATAAGGGAAAGTTTATTACTATAGAATGCGGATTGTAATCCAAGAATGCCAAAGGATATGGGCATTAGCTGATATATTATTGACTTGATTTATTATGTGTGATTGTGTTCATTATTGAACCTATATACTGGTGATAGCTGAGGTGATTACATATCATATTGATATATGATTGAGATGCATCATCCCTTTTATTGAAATCATATTGTGCACATGCATTGACATGAGATTGAGTATAAGTTGGGCACGTGGAGATCGTCCGTGCTGGGGATGGTGAGATGTTAAAATTATAATCTGGGCACGTGGAGATCGTCCGTGCGAAATTGGTTTGGTTTATGATAGTGCATTGAGATCGTCCGCACAGACACGTGGAGATCGTCTGTGTCGGTATATGGACCTCGCGAGTCCCCCATGGGTCATGAACTCTCGATGTATTTCCGAGGAGTATCATGTATATACGGTTGAGAGAGTACTTGGTATTCTGAGGCATATCATTTCATGGTGTCATATTGCATTGCATCTCATGACATCTTTCATTCTTGATGATTATGTGTTTTATTGGTGGTTGGAAAGTACTTGATATTTGATTACCTCTATTTGATGAACTTGATCTTGTGTGTTGCTGATATTTGTGAGTGCATTTTTGTGGAAGTTGTGATTGATGAATATTGAGTTTGTTGTTAAGGATATGTAATTTGTTAAAGTGATTGTTGTTGAGCTGGGTGCTATGTAAACAGTGAACTGTTAGGTTGGGCTGGTTTTATGCAGGTTGTAGTTGTGGAGGTTCGGTTGGGGTGTAAGGAGTACCCGTATTCTATCCCCTTAGCTTGTGTTTAGAGGTTTACTTGCTGAGTACCGTGTGGTTTGGTACTCACCCCTTGCTTCTACAATTTTTTTTGTAGGTTACGAGCCTGGATTTTGTGATACTTTCTATCTCTTATTTTTCGAGGCTTCTTGGAGATTTGTGAGGTAGCTGTTTGTAATCTCAGCAGACCTTCTTACTCCTACTTATGATCTCGTTCTATTCTAGAAACAAGGTCATTTGAGGCTTGTGTTTTTCTTTTGAATCAATTGTAATACTTTAGAGGCTTGTACACGTGACAACCAGATTTTGGGGGTATTTTTGAGTTGATTATGAAATTTCTGCATTTTATTGTAATGGTTGAGTTTAGGCTGACTTGTCTTGGTGGGATAAGATGAGTGTCATCACGTCCATTTTTGGGTCGTGACACTCCAAGTATGGAACTTCTCTAAAGTGTAGCATAAATGCAAATTCAGCATATGTTTAATATGCAAGTCTAGATAACAAAGCCATCGGTCATCTAGGTTCAGAGTTCAGAAGAAGGCTATAACATGCTTGCATTTCAGATGTTGTGCAGGCATCTTTAGCTAATTATAAAAGAAGCTTTGGACAAATAAAAGAGTTAATGAAAAACGTTCAATGTTGGGAGGTATGTGAGATATCCTCATAGACACGCAGTGTTAATTAAAATGTGTAAAGAAAGCAAACAAAGAGTAAAGGTTCAGTTCCCGTGATCTTGAGACTAGAACCTGCTACGCAAGAAAGGAATTTTGAGAAGGCTTTCAGAGATTAGAGGAGGAATGCACAAGATCTTTTGCTTATCATGGAAGAGAGAATTTTCAGAAAGCCTTCAAGTTTCCTACTTGAGCTGCCAAATTCTTAACATCACATCCTATAATGATTAAAGACTCCACTAGTTCTCCAGTCTCAACAGAGAGTTAGAGAAAACCAAAGACCCAACTATTTTTCTACTCACCAATATTCAATTTGCATACATTCACCTCCCCTGATTCTTAAGAGATTATAGTCCAAACAAAATCTCACAAAATTTGGAGACAACTGGAAAATAGTCAGAGTATGTGATTCCATGTCTTTCTTTAAGGGAAGGAATATGTATTTTGAACTTAGCATGGACCTCAATGGTATTAATATAGCATCTCTAGGAATAGAAAGCATTAGAAACATCATGAAGATCCAAATGAAGAGAGTACATCAAAATACTATCCTCACATTTTTTTAGTTGATTTAATAAAGGGATTCATCATACAATCTCACTCACTTCGATAACATGTCTTCTTTTTGCAAAGAAGAAGAAACGCATAGCTCATTCATTTCTTCCATAGCTTTCCTTTCATGTTTCCTTTTTCATATGGAGCAGGAAGGGGTAGAAACAGGCAGCTTTGGTGTTCCTCATTTCTACTGTAGTATCTCAATACAGTATCCAATGGGAGGATGGATACAACAAGAAAAAGGAGTAGTTTGGGCAATATACCTAAGCTACACTGACTTCAGCCTATGTGCACTACAAGATAATATTTTCATGTACAACACAAAGCAAACAGTGAAAAGAATAAAACTGTGGACCCTGGGCTGCAGATATGTGCTCTTCTTAAAACTAGTGGTTTTCATCAACAGCAGAATATGCATAAAATGTAAAAATTGAACTTGAGGAAAAAATGATGTTGCCAACCTCAAGCCAAAGACAGACAGCTACTGAGTTCAGCAATTTATTTATTTTTGATAACCAGTTCAGCAAACAAAAATGTAAATAAAAACCTAAGGACTTCCATGCCACAGGACAAGAAGTGCACCTAAGACAATATTAATCTACAAACAGGGACACATGCACACAGATATAACAGGTATTAATCGTAAAAACAAATTACACAGTTCGCGTCTTAAAGCAACTTCTGATGACACGGGATGCTAATATTTGAGATATCAACATACCTGACGGCGCAACTTGGCAGCACACGAATTATCCTCGGACTCTACCATTTTCCCTGTCAGCTGCTGCAGCAAAGCATATTTATTCTTAAGATATGTCATGTTCCTATACATTCAAGTACAAACATCATTTTCAAGTAGAGGTAACCAACCTTCTCAATGTTTCCTTTTGAAGGGTAGTTCTTACGGCGTTCTTCCCGCCACTGTTGAATTTCTTGCGCCGAGTAAGTCACCAAGAGAGGTCTTTGCAACACAGAGTAATATCCACAGAAAATAAATAAAAAATAAAACAAAAGTGAAAAACAAAAATATAGTACAAGAAAACATAGGTGATTTAAATGAGAAGACTTGAGAGGTAGCAGTTCAGAAAACAGTGAAGACAACCGCCAAAAGAACAACAAAATCTAAAGATCAACTCCTGAAAAAATGGCAGAAGTTAATAGGAGTTGATTATGCTGGTATTCTTTTCAGAACAAAATCTCATCATAAATAGAAATCAAACAAGGAACCATCATGCTATGCAATCCTTCAGCGTTTTCTTTTATAAAGGAGGTGTGTGGGCTAACTTGTACGCACCTCGACTACTCAACTGGAACCTGCTACTTTCCACAAGCACAGGCACCAGATATATGCTACATTCAAGTTTACGAGGGCTTTCCATTCTCTCATATGACATACAGAAAAAACAATGCGATTGTTGAAGGGCGTTTGTCATAATTGAACTATTAGTTGGTAATAAAATAGATCATTTTCAACTTTATTGCTAGTGAATCTAAAGAAATCCCTATTATCCACATCGAACTTTTGAAGTATTTGCTGATCAACTTCTTGAAAACAAACTAATGGCGTGCAATTTCTCAAAAAAGTTAAAAAGCTGATCACCAAGAAAGACAAGAGACAACACACCAAAAAAGCAAAAAAAACTTCCTTGCAAAATTGTAGTCAGAGAACTTCTCAAAACTGACCAAATAAATGTCAATAAGACTTTTCTTTCTGCTGCATATAATGCAACATAAGATTCCACTAAAACCGAGAAGTACCTCTTTTTCTCCATCTCAGGTTTCACTGAATTAATATCAATATTTTTTTTCTCCCTATTTCTGTGATGACCTGAGAAAAAAGGTGTGAATGAAAGTAGTTACTACAAGCAATTCAAGAGCAATGATACACAAATATTCAAGTAGAACTGCTGACCTTACAAGCAGCATACATCCAGAAACAAATGAGATATACATATAATGTGAAAGATACAGTATACACGATGAGTGGCGTTTCTTTACAAAGTTCTGCTTTTCTAACCAGAATTCAAACCTACAAATTCAGTGCTGGTCATTGCATCTCCAACTACTACAATGGTCAGAATATATCATGAAGCTTATTAAGGAAATACTAAAAAGCCAATTTCATGTAGAGCTTGTATTCACCATTTAAAACTAAACATCCAATTCATGCGTGTGGAGCAATCAAATAACAGGACAGTCTTTTTTAATGTATAGAAGCCAGATTCTTGTGTAAGCTCCAGTGACAAATCCTGAGCTAGTGCATCTTTTTTATGCTTTTTTCATTAAATCACTTGCTTCATCCAAAAAAAAAAGGGACATGTTGGAATTGACAAATCATAGGGATAGGTAAGATGTAAAAATGAGCAAAAAACCAAGACAACTCTCACCTTTTTCCAGGTTTTTATTATGAGTTGAGAACTTCCCTTTACCAAACTTGGACATCCTAGATATGCAGAAAATGGAGATCAGGAAAGGAATAAGATGAATAAAGGCTATATATAGAACAAAGAAACATAAATGAACCAGAAGAGTAGAACATACTTAGCTCCGTGCTTTTGATTCCTCGAGAAGTTACTATTATAAGAATTTTGCTGGTTGCCTTTTGATGGGTTAATCCCAACAACACATCCAGGATTTGCCTGCAAAATAGTTAATAGGACTCAGATGATCCAGAAGAAACATCAAATGCAAATTGCCCAAGTGGCCCTCGATTCTCCCAGAGCAAAAATGCATAGATCAAGAAGACTTTTATGCTATCTATTTGTTTATTCATTCATTTATTTTTAAATATTTCATTTTACGCAAATTATATCACTGCGATCCTAGATGCATTGAGACTTACCAATGACTTGTAACTTAAGTTACAGAAATCTAATCTGATATTGTAACTTTGTGCAAGTTATAAAGCCTTCTGATTTGATTAATATTTTCATAATAAGCATGCGTTCAAGTATTCTTTAAATCTAAATCATACCCCAAAACTGATATGGAAACAATAAGCAGAGCCATTTCTTAGCAACTTTTCTGTCTAACACAAGGATCATGCTATTGACACTAATCAAAAAATGGAAAAGTTCCTCTATAAAGCAACTTGTATACTCCAATCTACATTAAGAAACAAACAATTATATTTCTGTGGGAGGTGTCAAATATGACTTTCAAATGAACAAGCTACAAGAAATAATTTGCCATAGAAGAACAAAATAAGCTAAAGATAGCATCCATTACCAAGTACAGAGTTACAAGACGCTTTTCTTAGTCCTTCACTTTACATCTTTCCCTAATAAGCTACTAATTGAAAAGGCTTTTTCACAATGCATTTATCCTTAATCATGTTAAGTGAAAGATAGCACTCAAACCGTGAAATTTCAAGTAAGCTCTTGAATAAGCAATTCCATTTCTTTAATCTATATAACTAGGTAATGCATGCTGTGGATGATAGATTAAGACGGTCTAATAGAAGATAACCAAAGAAACTATTTAGTAAAAACGCTCAAACATTTCGAACACACAACACAGCTGAAGTACAGCAAAACAGTCATGCACAGTCATGCAGGAACCAAGTGAATTTCACCTGTGTATTAGTAGAAGCAGGAGCATTGAAGTTCTGAGTTTGTGGCTGCTGAACAAAGCCAAACTGATTCATCATAGGTAACTGGCCTAGCAATTGCTGATTCACATTAGGCATTTGCTGGACAGCTCCATTGGCATTCAAAAGACCCAAATGCGCATTCATAGAAAAGTTGGGAATTTGAGGCCCTATACCATGACATACCTAGTTTGAACAATACACAGACACAGGCTTTAGCAAAACTTTCTAGCTAAAATAAGCATTACATGAGCACAAACAGGAATAGTTTTCCTCTATATTGCAGCTTAGCTCCAATTCACTTGAACAAACAATAATTATGTCATGTAGGAAGTGTCCGATGAAAGTTACCAATGACCTAGCAACATCCTTTACCAGTAGTAAGATGACATTTCCCCCCACCATGCTACTAACTCAGGAGGCTCATCACTATCTATCTATGCTACATAATCTTGATTCTTAAGCGAAAGGCAGGGTGCAATTTAGGAGTTTTTCCGGTAGTGCATACTGCAGTCAATAGAATAAAAGGTCTAAGAGAAGATGACCAAGAACTACTTGGTGAAAATAAACCGCCTCAAACACATTACGGAGTTAAAGTACAGCAACACAGAATGCAGGATCCAAGTGAATTCACCTGTGTATTAGCAGAAGCAGGAGGATTAAAGTTCTGAGTTTGTGGCTGCTGAACAAAGCCGAAAGAATTCATCAGAGGCAACTGGCCTAGCAATTGCTGAGTCGCATTAGGCATTTGCTTAGACAAGCCATTCTTAGACTGCTGGGCGGCTACATTGGCATTCACAAGACCCAAATGTGCATTCATACCAGAGTTGGAACTTTGAGGGCCCATACCCTGAGAAACCTGGTATGAACAATAAGCAGAAACATGCTTTAGCAAACTTTGCTGGCTAAAACAAGCATCACATATGCGTGCATCCAATAACAGAAACAGGGTTCCTCTATAACACAGCTTACTCCAGTTCACACTAACAATAATTATGTTCTGTAGAATGTGTCAAACAAGAGACATAGCAACGAGAAATAATGTAGTTATACAGCTACGCTGTTACTTAAGACGACATCCTTTACAAGTACACAGACGACATGACACGTTGCTTAGCTCAATGTTACTTCTTTTCCTAGCATGCTACTAGGTAAGGAGGCTCATCACAATCTATCAATGCTTCATCATCTTAAGAGAAAGGAAGCATATCACATATGGGATTCACCAGTAAAACATACTGCACTCAATATATTAAGACGGTCTAAGAGAAGACAACCAAAACACTACATAGAAAGAAATTAAACCAGCTTAAACACAATATGCTTTTGAAGTATAGCAAAACAGAATGCAGGAACCAATTGTATTCACCTGTGGATTAGCAGAAGCATGAGCATTGAAGCTCTGAGTCTGTGGCTGCTGAACAACACCAAAAGAGTTCATCACAGGCGACTGCCCTTGCAATTGCTGACTCCCATTAGCCATTTGCTTAGACAAATTTCCACTTGCATTCGCATGACCCAAATGCGCATTATTCATCGCAATGTTAGAATTTTGAATTCCCATACCCTGAGGCACCTGGTTTGGATACATGGGAACACTCCCTGAAAGAGCCTGAGCATAACTTGCTATTTGCATAGCCATTTGCATTTGCAGAAACTGATTCATATTTTGCATTGGATTGGGCATAACCCCAAAACCAACATTCTGATTCAAGAACTGAGGTGGGTTACCAATATTTTGTCCCGAGAATTGACCTTTTTGTTGAGAATTAGCATTATTCATCTGATTCATTTGGTATGCCAAAAGCTGCCCAGGGAAAAACTGGGTATTCGGGTTATTGTTTGGAATTGCCATCTGAGACTGAATTTGCATATGGTTTGGCATAAAACTTCCTGGGTTACCCATAACCTGATGAAATTTAACCAAAATAGCCAAAATCAAGAATCTAAAATATAATCAACTTAGAGACAAAATAGTAGCATAAGACGCAAAAAGACGGATATAGGAGAACCTGCAGGGGAGGTGAAGGAGCAGTTCCATTGGCCTGAAGCTTAGAAGGATGCTGAGGCCGTGAATTTCTACCCGGTAACATGGTTCTTCGAAGAGCAAGAGTTCATGTAACACAGTGAGGGAGACAAGGGTTTAAGGACAGTTCAAAGTTCCAGTTTTCTAGGGTTTTTGAGTAAACGAAAGGCATCAATAAACAATAGGAGTGTAATATTTTGGGTAAATTTTCATAAATACATGATAAAGAGTAATTTTATTTGCACCAAATATAGTCAAGTTTTCCATTTACATAAAAAAATAGTTTGAAATTAGGTAAATTACATAAATCTCATAGTTTTAATATGAAATTACAATTTATCCCTAATAAGTTTCTAATTACATTAATTCCTTAAATATTTAGAAAAACGGATACAATAATTGAAGCTCGGATACATTAATATGTAGCTCGAATACATTAAATATTGTCTCGGATACATTAATATGTAGCTCAGTTACATTAAAAACTAGCTCGGATACATTAAATATTGGCTCGGATACATTAATATGTAGCTCGGATACATTAAAAACTAGCTCAGATACATTAATATGCAGCTCGAATATATTAAAGAAATAAGAAATTTTGGAGATTTTTAAAAGTAATAGGGGATAATGAAAATAAGTGAAACAAAAGGTGTGTATTTCTGTAATTTGTCCTTTAAATTAACAACATATGTAACAAAAACTATTTTTTAACAAAATTATCATATGCATAGGTAATGTATTGATGTTATATAAAATAGATTTTTGTATAGATAATGAACTATATTTAAGGGATATATGTACATCAATGCATATTGTTAATATGGTACAATATACATTACATATCAGTCTGTTTTTAATCTCAACCAACTCAAATCTCTTATAAACAATTTCAAAAATTTAGATATGAGCTTGTCTCATTGTTTTCAGACTTTTAATAAATTATTCGCTAGAAGCGATTCATATTATTATCCATCCAAACTATTTTTTAACAAAATTATCATATGCATAGGTAATGTATTGATGTTATATAAAATAGAGTTTTGTATATATAATGAACTATAATTAAGAGATATATGTACATCAATGCATATTGTTAATATGGTACAATATACATTACATATCAGTTGTTTTTAATCTCAACCAACTCAAATCTCTTATAAACAATTTCAAAAATTTAGATATGAGCTTGTCTTATTATTTTCAGACTTTTAATATATTATTCGCTAGAAACGATTCATATTATTATCCGTCATTTGGGTGCGCACGTGGTAAAAACCCCGCTCCTATGCAATAGCTCGCAAACCACATAGGAGAGGTAACCCACACTAGGCAAGCCCGGTGCGACGAGCTCGACCCAGAAGGCAAACCTCTTGCTTTTGCTGGCAAGGGGTTTCGAACTTGAGACCTCTAACATGGAAGTCCCAAGCCCAAAACACTGGGCCACCCCTAAGGGTTGGATGGACAACAATTAAGAGATGAAGAAGTTATTAATGGCCAGAAGAAGAAGACTAGAGAAGACGAGAAGAACGCGCAAATTGAATTTCGCTTGCAATTAAAAGGCGGAATGGTCCGGTGGACCCTTATACTTGTATCAGTTTGTATTTTGAACCCTTCTACTTACACTTTTGTCATCTGGACCCTTAAACTCAATAAAATACAATTTAACAAACCCCTATGACCGTTGACCAGGCTTATGTGGCAGTAAGATGTCTGAGTTGACAAAAATGTGTAACTACACGCCTATTAAGGCGAGTGAGGAGCATTTTTACTTAAAAAATATTTTAAATTATAAAAAAAAAATATTTTAAACCATTAATTAAAAAACTCCTTCTTCTTCACCCATTACACCTCATTTTCAGCCATATTCATCCCTTGCCCAACCCTTTTTTCTTTTTTTCCACAATCTATTTTTCGGCTAGATCTAGTGTGTTGGCTTAGGTTGTTGGTTTTGTGAGGTTGGAGAAGGAAAGGAAAATGGTCGTGACGTGTGGCGGAGATGAAGGCAGGTAAAGGAAGGAATATGAGTGAGTTCGCCGGCAACAATGGCAACGGCGGCGATGGTTTGGGCCATGAAACAATGGGAAGGGGAGAAACTATAATGGGTAGATTTCGACGAGTTTCACGGCATAGGTTGGTGTGAAATTGTATTTGTAACCAATTTGGGGTGTGAGGATTACGAAAAGTTTGGCCAGATCTGGTTGTGCGGTGGCCAGATCTGGTTTTGCGGTGGTTTAGGTTGTTGTTACTGTGGAGGTTGGAGGAGGAAAGAAAATAGTGATGGTGTGCGGCGGAGAAGAAGATGGGTGAGGGAGAAAGTATATGTGATTTCTCCGGCAAAAATGGCGACGCCGCCGGCGATGGCTTTCTTTTGGTCGTGAAATAGGGAGAATTAGAAATGCCAATAATAAATTAAAATGTTATTATTTTACATTTTATTAAATAATTTTGGTTAATAATTTTAAAAAATAGTTATGAAATAATTATGATGTGGCATTAATATATCTGATGTGGATATGACATGTCAATTATATAAAGGAGAGTGAGCTACACACATGGTTGGAGGGGCTTAAAAGTCTCATTTTAATTGAGTTTAAGGGTCCAGATGACAAAGGTGTAAGTAGAAGGATTCAGAATACAAATTGATACAAGTATAAGGGTTCACCAGACCATTCCGCCCAATTAAAACGTGTCGAATGATTATTTTGGGTAAAAACTGATAATGGATATTTTTGAGTGATCATTTGTCTATTTTTTTCTAATATTTATAACAAAACATTATTTTAACATGTTATTTGATTTATTTTTTTGAGTTATCAAATGAAACCTAATATAATTTTTTTTTAAAATGTAAATATATATTAAATTCATATAAAAAAAGCTACCATTGAATAAGTAAATAACTATCAAAAGAGTGGATTAATCTCTTCCTTTGATTAAAAGGTTTCGATTATAATGATTTTTTAGTCTTCATACAATAAAAAAAAAGTATTTACTATTGTTCTATTTCACAACCTTACCAAATACCATTTGTTCATTCTCATACTCTCCCTTTGATAAATAACATTACATTTTAAAATTTTCAGAACTCGCTATTTATGTATTATCAATTTAACACAATCAACTTATCGTTTTATGATTAATCATTTATTTATAATAATAAAATTTTAATTTATTTTAATGTCAATCAGAAAAAAAATATTGACGAATGAACATTAATAAATCTGTTCAGTGCAAAGAACTTATATAAGCAATGAATTTTCTTTTGATAAACACAATTTTACTAGCGAATAGGACGATAAAGTAATTTGATTTCTTAGTGAAATAAGTCCTATCGAAAAGCTATCATCATTGTGATAGTAAAGGCTCAAACCAAACATTGAGATGGCACAATTGGAAGTTGATATTTATAATATACTAGTGTACTTGTCCGTGCTTCACGCGGATATAAAAAGATATTAAATATATTTTAAAATAATTAATAAATAATATAATAAAAAAGAGAAATATAAATTAAGTTACGATTATGATATTATCTATTCAAAAAAATTGCTAAAACATCTCATGCTGCATTTTCAATTTAAAATTGCTGATAAAAAAAATGAAAACATAAAAATTGATACGAAAAGCTTCAGTTAAGTAACAATCTAATTATCATAGTTTCATACTAAATTCAATGATTCTTATAGTAATATTATTGGTTCAACCAACAATACTAAATCTACTTGATGATAAATTACATGACTTTCTTTTTTGTATAAATGACTCTATAATAAAAGATTAATAAATCAAAATATATTTGTGCTAAATCATGGTGAGAAAAAAAAAAACTTGAATTACATTCGAACATATTTATGCCCGAGATTCAGAAGTTAGAGAACTTTTTTTCGATATTTGATGCTCGTACTGGCATTCATTTACTACATATTTGTGTCACATAAGATCCATTAATATTAAAAAAAAATAATTAAATTTTCATTCTTATAGTATGCATTGCGAGAAGAGAGAATTAAGTTGCTATAGTGAAACACTGTCGTTGAGGTTTTACTTTTACAATAAAAATAAAAATTAATCACATAATTTATCGTATAGAGATTATCAGTAGTGAGAAGAAATAATTTTAAAAAAGAATACATGTATGCAACAACGAAGATGTAGAAAAAGTACCAAAAGTTGAATAAATTTTTACAACACTAATACAATTGTTCCTATTATTACAATATTATTTTTGGTAATGACGATTATACATCTCTCAAAATAGGTTTTTATAAGTGTCATTTTAAGGAGTTGTAAATTTGTATTTTAAATATTTGAAGGTTATGAATATGAAAGGTTAGGAGTTATAGACATTGTTAAATTAATTAAGATTTAAATTTATGTAATTGAAGAGGTATGAATTAAGAAGATGATTTTGTAAAATAAAATAATTGAAAAAAATGTTTTAAAAAATCACAAAAAAAAGATAAATAGAATTTTTGGCTATTGAGAGGTGTCACATCACTTATACATATATATATTGATGTTATTTATATCTCTTCTCCTGCTTTTGGCTTTTATCGTTATTGTGTTTAATTTTTCTCTTATTTATTTATTAATTTATGTACTATATATTAATTCCACATTAGTCAACATCCACTCTCTTCCTTAACCGATTAGAAAATAAATGTTCATTATTTCTAATAAATTAAATTATATGCTTACACTTTGTATAAATTATATGCATATAGTTTGTTTGGATGGAAAGTGCAATAGCATATAATATTAGATTTCTCTTTTTCTTTCTTTCTTCTTCCATATTTTTCATTGAGGCATCAACTACGTTCTTTTAATTGTTTATATGATACAATTTTTGGAGTTGGTCATTTTTAATTATTACGTAATAATAATAGAAATGTTTATATGTAATTCACACAAAGAATTTAATTTTTTTCTTTATCAATAAGAGAGTTAAATAAATTATATATGATCTCTAATTTTAGTATACATATAAGTTTTATTATGTTTATATTAAAAATTTATAATGTCTTTAATTACAAGATAACAATATGAAATATTAAATGATATCATGAACATGACTATTAACATAATTTAGGATTTGTGATCATTAAAAGTCATGAAAGTAAGGAAAATAAAGTTAATTAAATATCAAATAATTTTATGAACATG